GGAAATAGAGTAGTACATAACGAAAGCATATTAAAAGATGATAAAATAAGGGAGAGGAGAAAAATAGAGCTAGAGCTCTTAGAAAACCGGGGAAAGATCATTGAGAAGCTGTTCTTCGTCAATGTCTTCGTCTTCCTCTTCATCACCACTGCCATTATCATCATCATCTTCTTCTTCTTCTTCAGCTTCTTCAGCTTCCTCTTCTTCTTCTTCTTCAACGTTCACCGCTTCTTCTCTTCCAACGTCGTTAGTCCCACTTGGTTCACCACCTAGGTTTGGCGGAGGAACATAAGGGACCATTTGAGCGTAGGGGTAGTTGACAAAGTCAAAATACCCGTGAAGCTCACGGCTCAGAATATTGACGTTATGTGCCGTTTTGGAGACGTTGGTGTCTATCCGAGAAAGGGTGGTTGTCAAAGCCGCCATTTGCTCGGCGAGAGACAGATTGGTTGAAGCGGTGGCAGTCGAGGCAGTAGCTCTCGGTTGGCGACGAGGACGAGTAGGGGCAAGGTCTGCGTACACAGCGGTGGCAGTCGAGGCAGTAACTTTCGATGTTGAGCCGGGGGTCTCTTTGGAAACAGCCTCTCTACTTTCGAGTAGGGGCAAGGTTTGCGTACACACACCCTCCCCAGACCCTACTCTTGTGGGATTTAACTGGGTTGTTGTTGTTGTTGTTGTTGTAAGGTATATATCAATATTTTGATGGTTCAAACTTACACAAAGTGTTGGTACTTTAGCAAAAATTTGCACTGACACAAAGTGTTGTTGCGTTAACAAAAACTATCATTACACTAACAAAAAATGTTGGTGAATCCATGTGGCGTACAAAATAGGATTCAAATTTTTAGGGTATAAATAGCTTTATCCTTTTATGTTTGCAGTATGTAGAAACGGAGAATGGTGCAGTGGTTGTTAAGTCAATAACCTATAAAATTTTCTATTGAAAAATGCGATACAAAACAATCAAAAAGTAGGAGAAAATGATTAAAGAAATAACCTTCATGATCCTCTGCTGGAATTGAACAGTTCATCATCCTTTTAAGTGAGAAGTGTTGAATTTTTGGAAAGTGCTTTTCAAAGAAAATAAAGATGCTCTCTCTTGTGGACAAAATGAAAATCTTGCTTCATATTACTACCTTCTTTTCAGAGTATTTGTCAAGTTTTGACTTTATCGATCAACTGTTTTGACCTTTGACATATTATTAAATAAAATACTCTGTATATATTCTATATTAATTAGATAAAGTAATATTTTAAAAATATTTGACATAAGAAATCTAATTAAATTATGTTTGTAGTAATATCTAATACTCCCTCCGTCCCAAAAAGTCTTTCCTGTTTCATTTTTTGCGCATCCCATAAAACACTTCTATCCAGCCTTGAATGCCAAAAAAACTTTCAAAATAACTTCTACCCACAATAAAGAAGAAATGTTGTAAATTTTAGGCATTTTAGATGTCGGTAGAAGTGTTTTATAGGATGCGCAAAAAATAAAACAGGAAAGACTTTTTGGGACGGAGGGAGTATTATTTTTATCTAATTTGAAGTAAAAATTTACTAATGCGGTTGTTTATTTTTATCAAAAATTTTATCTAATTTGACAGAAAAATTTAAAGCCGATAAATACTCGGACAGGAAGGGAGTATCTTGAGAATAGTATAAATTAGTTGGTGCCTAGCTATGAATTTACACCATATTATCTACCAAATCAACGTAATTAACCCTTCATGTCAATCATGGCATCCAAAACAATCCTTAGCCACTACTACTTGCTAATCTTGGTAGTAGTGATGTTAGGAATAATCCTCCTCGAGACCTATCCCGTTTCCTCGCGACCCATTATTGATGACTCGGCCATGCGACTTTTCTTCGACGAGTGGAAAACTCTTCACGGGAAGAGTTACGCGCTCGCAAGTGAGGAACACGAAATGCGCTTCGAGATATTCAAAGACAACGTGAACCACGTTGAGGCTTTCAATGCCGAACCGGACCGGAGTTACGAACTCGGAGTTAACAAGTTTGCCGACTTGACCAACGACGAGTTTCGTGCTATCTACGCAAGTGGTTACAAGTGCTAATCGTGTTGATTTACAACTTTGGGCTATATATATTAAGGTATTAGGCTAAACACGATACTCAGAAATAATAGAGAAGAGTTGTATGTGGAAATACATATAATGATGTGATTATATTTAAATTCGATCTGGGGTTCTGGCGGAATTTGTCTAAGTAGCTTAGTGCTATTTCTTACTCTAGGAAGCTCCTCTCTTTTTGGATAGGGACCAAAAAGAATACTATTCAATCCTACTATAGCCATCCATTTGCCATTCTTATTGTAGTCATCCTTGTGTGAGGTTGAAGTTCGTGTTGCAGGGTAGGCGGCTTAGACATCTCATGCTTGTCACATCATCCCCACTTTTGTTGTCAAATTTAAGTGGTGTTATGATCGATAGCTTACCTACCGATTAGCCATCGGTACTTGATCATGTCGCTGGTGTCCATGTCCGAACTACTTGGCCGCCCGGACAAACCAGTCACAACTCACAACTGTAACATCCACCTTGAAGGTTGTCCTCCCGGGTTGTGAGCTGTGAGCCCGGTCGCAAGATGCTAGACCGGGTTGCCATGGGTTTATACCCATAAACTCTTTTGGTCTACCCTCCCTAGTATTTTCCTTGTGAGAATTGTGTATAGTCGCAAAGAGTTGCCAATTTTCATTTCCGTTACGATCCGTTTCGGCCGTAGAACCAGGGAGGCAATTCCGCAAACACCTTACCCGCAATTCGTTTCTGAATCTTGCCGCCGGTCGATGGACTCCTCTCCGTGGATCCGGCAATTACTGGACTCCGATCAACGGTTATTCCGCCATTGCATCAACCTTCTCCTCCTCAGCTCTCTCCCGATCTACATCTCCTGCCGCTTCATCACCGCCCCTTTCGGAAAACACGTCCGCCCCGGGTGGGGCCCGACCCTCCCGGCGCCTTTGGCCTGGTTTCTCATGGAGAGCCCCACGCTCTGGCTCACCCTCCTCCTCTTCCCTCTCGGCAAGAACCACTTCGACCCGATCGCCCGAATCCTCATTTCTCCCTACCTCATCCACTACGCCAATCGCACTTTACTCTACCCGATCCGGATCCATCCCGCCTCCGCCCGCCTGAGACGGCCCGCCGCTAGGTTTCCGGCGAGCGTCGCAGCGATGGCGTTCGCCTTCAACGTCTTGAACGCTTACCTGCAGACCAGATGGATCTCCCACTACGCCGATCACGCCGGCGGCGCGCTGTTCTGGTGCCGATTCGGCGCCGGATCGGCCGTTTTCATCGCCGGAATGGCGGCCAATTGCTGGGCGGACAGAGTGCTGCTTCGCCTGAAAAGCGAGGGCGGCGGGTATAAGATTCCGAGAGGAGGGCTCTTCGAGTGTGTGAGTTGCCCCAATTACTTGGGGGAGATTTTGGAGTGGTTTGGATGGGGGGTTGTGATGAACTGGTATTCTGCGGCTGGCCTCGCCTTCTTCTTGTCCACCATTGCCAACCTAGCTCCCAGAGCTTATTCCCATCACAAATGGTACTTGGAGAAATTCGGGGAAGATTACCCCAGGAAAAGGAAAGCTGTGATTCCATTTCTGTACTGAAAGTAAGTTCTCAAAAACCCAGTTTCATTCTCTACTCTGCAACAAAATGCACATTTTCCTGATGTTATTCATCCTCCTTCATGTCTCTTCATCTTCAATTATGCTTCCATTTTCAAGTCCAAATGGTAATTATATCACTACCTTATGAAAAACTGAAAATAACTACCATTTTCAATTGAATAAAGGCAATGCTAAGGGTACACTAACATGAGATACCTCATTTGTTATAAATGTATTTACTTTATTTTCACCATGTAAATTTTATATTACAGTAAGAACTAAATTTGATTCTAAAAATATTTCTGTAAAAACTGATGATTTCTTGACAATGAGTGTCATTAGAACGAAAAGGATCCTTATACATTTAAAAGTTAAAACAATGGCTTCTTTTTCAAGTTCTAACCGATTGAAGCCAAAGTTATGAGAGAACGTGATTCCCTCTTCATCGTGAAAGATCACATATAGAGTGCTTCATCTTTCGTGTTGGGGAACTCTGTAAATTCAAAATGCAGTGCCCATTTAAATTTTGTCTTAGTTTAATTTGGTAATAAAAAATTTTTTGAGTGTAGTTACATTTCTTGTAGTTTTTAATTTGTATGTATTGTGTATGCTTTGGTTGAGCTTGTCAAAAATAATTGGAGCAGCATTCGTTTATAATACAAACTTGGGCAGTTGTCAAAATTAATTAGTGAGAGTAGTTATTCAAAACAAATTGGGAGAAGTTTATTACCTTTTTCTAAAATGGAGTAGTTTTTACAAATAATTTCAATTCAATAATTTAATAATTCAATAAACTTAATGAGTTGATTTGTCCCAAAAAATTTAAATGAGTTTAATAAGTGAAGTTCAACTACATGAATTATTATTTAATTGGATTTAAATGAATTTATATCGTGGTTCTTTATATTGCACGTTTGCACACCAACCACACACTATTACATTTTTTTCTCATGCACTATTTTTTTTTCCCTTTCACTTTATTTGCTCGTTAACACTCCGTATTTATTAATATTATCAATAAGTCGTATTTACAATTATTACCAATAACCTCAATTAAAATGGAGGGAGTAGGGTATACCTCCTTTTATATTTTAGAAATGTAGCAGTTTCTTTGAATTAAGTTTCAAAGATGAATTGATTAAGTCAGTTTTTTAGAGACATTATTAAATCATTTTAATGATACTGAAAAAATTAAATAACTTAAATAAACAGTGTGCTATTTATTTATTTAATTTTAATTACGTCTAAATGTTTTTTCTAGTGAAAATTTAGAAGAATTAATTTAATGGTTTAATAATTAATAAAGTGGTAACTGTAAAAAAAGATGATGTGATAAGTGCTTTAAACAAAAAAAGTTAAGTAGTGGTTCATATGTATGACAAAACTGTCAAAAATAAAAGTTTTCCCAACCCATATATTTTTTTTAGAAAGCCCACGAAAGTAAGGGCGTGTTTGGGAGGAGTCATTAACTTGTGGATAAAGTGATTTCTACAAAAACTAAAAGCAAAAGAATCTTATGCCTGCTTCTCCGAAACGGTGTTCTATGTACAAAATAGTGTTGGGGAAAAGCAGAAGCTGATATGTCAAACAGAGTAAAACCACTTCCACTTAAAGCAGAAGCTAAATTCTTAAAAGCGGCGCAATGCCAAACACCCTCTAAATTACCCAACCCACTTATGCTTTAAAATTTGAACGGGAAACTTTTCTTTTTTACTTTTGTAAAGAGTAAAATTCCATCCAAGGGGGCCATTTTGTCATAATTTTAAAAAATGAGGTATGCTCTTGTTACAAATGAAAGATGAAGTACCTTTTGGCTAGAACATCTAAAGTTAGGGTACCTTTGTGGTAAAAATTTGAATTTTCATGAAGTTTAAAAAAAATATAATTAAATAATTGAAAGTGATGTAAATTGAGGGAAAAGAAAAATGGTGAATCATAAAAAACTTTACAGAGAAGGAAAGAAAAAGCTTCTTAATCCCCGTTTGGCATCAGCGTTAGAGATTAGCGTTAGCGTTTTGAAAAAGTTATCCGACGGTAGCTTTTAGCGTTAGCGTTTTCAGAATTAATCTGAACCATTAAAATTTTATCCAAAACGCTAACGCTAATCGAAAACGCTGTTACCAAACAAAGCCGACATCTCAAAAACGAAAGCCAGAAGCTTTTTTTGAGCGGATGGAGTATATTGTATATCAATATTCATTAAACTCTTAACATATCTCAAAAGTCATAATCCCAAAATAATCACTTTTAATAAGAATAGAATATAGATCTTATTCTCAAAATATAAGAGTGACATGGTCTAATCCCAAAATATAATTAATGTGTTCTAATATTGTTACATTATATAGTGACATTTCTTAATATTTTGGATATTTTATGTTGAGATTATCAACATTGTAAGTACCGAAATACTATTTTAGATTTTTGAAGTTAAAAATATCTAAGTTCTATTTTAGTTTTTTCACTATGTTTTATTCTTATTTTAATACGTTTCTAAACGTGAATGAATGGACTAATGGAAAATGGAATAGTATGGAAGGGCACAAGGCTCGAAGGACGGCATGTTAATTCGACTAAGGTAGGTGGCCATACAATTATCGAGGCAATAATAGCGTTTCAAAATTCAATCCGCATGACCTTTCACAATGAGGCCTCACTACCCGTGCATCACCCGTGCGATGCGATGCACGAAAAAAAATATCTTAATTATGAAAAACATATTCTATTATAACTTCAACTAGGAATATGAATCATCAATAAAAGTTGACTAACATACAAAGACTAAATTGTTATGCACGCACAATATTTTTTGGAGAGAAAGAGGGAGATAATGGACAACGGCTGTTAGGCACACTCGCCGCAATCGATGGCGGCAAATAGACACACACATGATTTTTTATGAGAAAGAGAGCGGGATAAGAGACAACAATGCCATGATCTGTGGCGGTTAATCGTCGATAAAGAAGACCGACGGTAGGGCACGGCCGGTCGTAGAAGAAGGGAGGCTAGGTTTTTGAGAAGAAATACCTTAACTCCAAGACTATATTGAATAATGAAATAATTATATTACTCAAACGATAATGAAATACATGGTAGAGTATATATAGAGCGAGAATTATAACACCAACTAGAAATAGGAATCAATATATAAGCTTACTAAAATACAAAGACTATCATAATTAATACTATCATAATTGTTGTTATTATTATTGTCTAACACTAAGCCGAATATAACAATCCCCTCTCTAGACTTCACAAATCTATTAGGAATTTTGTTACTATATGCTACAACTTCGGGGAGTGTAAAATTTTGGTGGAAAAATTACCCAAAATAATCCCAATTTTACCCGGTCTTTCAAAAATAATCACACCTTTCACTGTGATGCATAATAATCCCAAATTTATTGAAATTTGCCAATTTTGGGTCGCCGTTAAGTTTCTAACGGAGGGTTAACGGAAATGCCCGTTTTAGGCAACAAAATGGAAGTTGGGATTATTTTTGATGAATTTTTGTTTTTTAATTTTTTTTGAAATTTTTATTTAAATTTTTTGAATTACTTTCAACCTCCATTTCTTTTTCTTTTTTAAAGATTATTCTTACCTTAGAAAAAAAGATATAAAAAATAATGAAAATGAGAAAAATAACTAAAACCATACAAAATTAATCAAATAAATAATGTAATCAATAGAAATTAAAAAAAAAACTAGTAAGAAATAAAATAAATATATACGGAGTGGTGGGTTTTAACATTTTACACACTATACGGAGTCTTAATGTACTACTTATTTTTTAAAAGAAAAAGCCGTCATGTAAAGTTGGAATTATTGTAGATAATTTTTTATAAAAAATAAGAATTGATATTTTAATACTTTGTATAGTGCGTAAAATATTAAAACCCACCCGTATATTTTTATTTTACTTTTACCAATTTCAAGTTAGTTTCCATTGATTACCTTATTTATTTTATTATTTTTGTATCATTTTAGTTACATTTCTCATTTTTTCATTTTTTTATATCTATTATTTTATTTTTTTAAACTAAGACTAATCTTTAAAAAAGGAAAAAGAAATGATGATGGAGGTAGAAAGTAATTTTAAAAATTGAAATGAAAAATATAAAAAAAATAAAAAAAATGAAAATTCATCAAAAATAATCCCTACTTTCATTTTGTTGCCTAAAACGGGCATTTCCGTTAACCCTCCGTTAGAAATTTAACGGCGACCCAAAACTGACAAATTTCAGTAAAGTTGGGATTATTATGCATTACAGTGAAAGGTGGGATTATTTTTGAAAGACCAGATAAAGTTGGAATTATTTTGGGTAATTTTTCCAATTTTGGTCCCCTTATACGAAGGCAGATTTATTTAATTTGAGTAAATTTAATTAATTTGAGTTACGTTGGTAAGTAAGTCAATAACGTGTAAAATTATCTATTTACAAATTGACACGAAACATGAAAAAGTGGGGAAAATAATTAAGCCTTCATGATCCTCTGTTGACATTAACAAGTTCATCATTCTTTTGAGGTTTTGCAAAGAAAATAAAGCCCTCTCTTTTGTCCACGAAGTAAAGAATTACTTTTTCCCGTCAAATTTGTCTTCCCAGTTATTTTAGAGATATATAATTATTAATCAATAACGTATGATTGTATACACAATTTCATTGATCATTTAACAAAAAAAATATTTTTGTTTTTTTTATTTTATGCTGACCCAGTAAAACTTCATATGTAGTTTATAGATATAATGTATACGATTTATTTTTGTATCAATTTCTAAACAAAATCATTTTAAAAAAGCTAAAATTCTCTACATCCTAACAAATGAAGAATTAAATTTAAACCAAGGGAGTACTATTTAATTTCTCCATATTTTCTGTAGAATATTTGCCTCCGACACCAACCTAAGCGGGTACGTAAGCTAATTCTTTAAACTTTAAATGATTAAAATAATGTTTAGTTAAAGGTGATCCAAAGGAGAGAAATTATAAGGGATAAAAACCAAAGTATGATTAAAACATTAAAATATACCAAAATAGAACTTTCATATTTTTATTCTCGAAATAGGACTTACATATCCCATTATCATACATGGTCATGTACATTACCAAAAAAGTATAGTAATTTGCACATGTACACTGCCACATTACAACAGAGCAAAGTTACATTATCACAATGCAAAGTTCTATTTCGGTAAAAAGTATGAATGTCCTATATTCGTATTTTCCTCAATGTTTTAATACTATTTAAGGCGATTTCTAAATTTATAAGGGCCATAATTTTTTTAAATGGAAAATGAAACCTTTTCTGTGTCTAATTATCTCTTTGATTGTCCTGAGTTTTTCTTCTTCTTGCAATTTAATTTATTTTCAATTTTTATTTATTACTACATCTGTCCCTGAGTATTTGTCCAGTTTTGACTTTTTTCAGTCAACTGTTTTCAACCTTTGACCTATAATTAAATAAAATATATATTGTATTTTAATTAAATAAATTAATATTTTGAAAATACTTGATATAATAAATCTAATAAAACTCTTTTTGTATCAATATCTAATATTATTTTTATTTAATTTGAGGTCAAAGTTTACCAATTTTTACCAAAAAAAGTCAAAAGTGGATAAATACCCAGGAACGGAGAGAGTATTTCATTGTAGCTAGGTGTAAATTAATTTCCCAATCCAAGCAGCTAGGTGCCTATAAATTAATTTCCCCATCCAAGCATTGCATCATTATATTATTGCCCCCCTTTACCACTTCAAACAATAAATTAAACTTCATACCACTCAATACAACACAAACCCTAAAACACATATATAGAGTATGGCATCCAAAATAATCTTTTGCCACTACTTGATGAGCATATTGATAGTGATATTGGGAACAATCATCCTGACTTATTGTCCGGTTTCCTCTCGACCTTTTGTACGCCGCGATGCAGATAACTCGACGTCGTCCCTGCGAGCCATCTTCCGTGACTGGATGACTCTTCATGGAAAGAGTTACCCACTCGCAAGTGACGAATATGAAATGCGTTTTCAGATATTCAAAGAAAACGTGAACTACATTGAGGCTTTCAACGCCAAACCCGGCCAGAGTTACAAGCTCGGGATTAACCAGTTTACAGACTTGACTAGGGACGAGTTTAGTGTCACTTATGCAAGTGGTTTGAAAAGCGTGAATATACCGAAGCCAAAACGGTTTTCCGCTTCAGCCTCGAAGGAACGGTTTTCTGCTTCAGCCTCGAAAGAGAGTCCTCCAGACCGCGTAAGCTGGATAGCCAACGGTGCCACAACAAAAGTCAAGAACCAAGGCCGATGCGGTATGTAATTCCTTTCTTAAACTAGCACGCTCTTACCCTATGTTTGGTTCTTCTTTTCCTTTTCAAATTTCTTGAAACTAAATATAGTGTTAAATTAGTACTTCATAATAAGGATACACTCTTTTCTTACCCGTCACACATCATCTCTATTGTTAGCATATATATTTATATTTCCATATTTGTATATTATTTCCATGTATGTATCTTTCCTTATATGTAATCGGGCCTAGCCCCAAACCTATTTGTATTTATACGTTGTGAATACTCAATGAAAACCAATTCAGTCTTTCACAAATTTCTACATGGTATCAGAGCCAATTTTCCGGGATTCGTCTAAACCCTAGGCTCGTCATCACTTAGCTTTCTTATGAGTGCTATACAATGCTGCCAGCCATGAGGATTTATCACGGCCCGGAGTGAGCTTAGCCAATATAATGAAAATGAGATATAAATAAAGTGTAACTTATGCAAATGAGACTTAAACATATCATTTTTCCTTACATAAAACCGGTCATATACATCAACCCTAATGTTTGTCAATAGAAAGTTCTAGAATGTCATGCCTTTGAGATAATTAGCATATTACACAATTCAATTAGAATAAAACATTATTATAAATAATCTGAATAGTTATTGAAATAATGAGTCATTATCCAGCATTTTTTTGCGAATGACCACATTCGTAGAGTACTCATTCTTAAAATCAATCATTATTCAACACTTGTTGCTAATGAGGACACATATGGTAGATCATATGAAATTATGTGCCGCGCGTAAAGGTAATAAAACATATTTGGTCATGTTTAGGGAAACATAGTACCCCCTCCGTTTTTTAAAAGTGTTCCTATTTTGACTTTGTGTATAAATAAGGAAGTGTTAAATTGTAGTTGACTTCCAATTTTGCCCTTGATGTGATGGGTAAAAGTAAGATGTGATGGATTGAGTATTAGAGAAAAAGTATGATGTGATAGGTAGGGTATGAAAAAGTAAGGGTAAAAGTGGTTTTTTAATAGAAAGTGGAAGTGTTTTGTTGGAAGTAAAAAAAATGAAAGAGGAAGAGTTTTTAAGAACGGAAGGAGTACCTTTTAGTCATATATAGAATGCTTTTTTTATAAATAAATATGATGGTCGGTTATATAAATGTGCCAAAGAATAAAAAAGCGATAAAATATTCTCCGTATACTTAGTGTCTGTTTGGTACACAGAATTGATGGAATTGAAATTGAATTGAGAGCTGAAATTCTGTGGAAATGATTTGAATGAAATTGAATTCGTCAATTAATGTATTTTTTTAAAATAGACCTTATGCCATAATATTGTGCCGAAAAAGCGTTGTACGAGAATCTCAACAAGATTGGGCGTGGGGCCGGGGGTGCAGGTAGTTGCTGGACATTTTCGGCGGTGGCAGCGGTGGAGGGTCTGAAGTATATAAAAACCGGCAATCTGTCCTCCCTCTCGGAGCAAGAGCTTCTGGAGTGTGCCGTCCCCCGCAACGTAGACCCCTGCACCGGCTACACCCTGGATGGTGCATACCACGCCATCATGCAGGCCGGCCTGGCCACGGAGGAAGACTACCCCTACACCGCAACCAGAGGAGCCTGCAGCTTAAACCACCACCCGGTTGCGGCCACGATTGCGGGTTACGACTCCCTTTTCCCCGGAAGCAACGAGGCCGAGCTCTTGGAACTGGTGGCGGAGCAGCCGGTGTCCGTGGGCATCAACGCCGCTTCAGAAGGCTTCCAGCACTACGTTAACGGAGTGTTCGATGGGGAATGTGACCAGGACAGCCTGAACCACGCCGTGACGATAGTCGGGTACGGACCAGCCCGCGAGGCCGGCATAGATTATTGGACGATTAAGAACTCTTGGGGCGTTGGTTGGGGCAGGTCGGGGTATATGAGGATTCAAAGGGGTCGGAGTGGCCCCAAAGGGCATTGCGGCATTGCTGTCGATGCTTACTATCCAATCTGGTCCAACTAGCCGCTTGTCCACCATCTCTTCTTTACCTCTAAACATCTACTACCTCCGTCCCACTCTCTTTGTCCACTTTTGACTTTTGGAATTGTTCATCTAAACACTTTGACTCATCAAATTCTCTCAATGTGTAAGCCTAAATATAGTCATGTGTGATCTTGTTTGATTTGTCTTAACATATAGATTATTAATATATAATTTCTATAATTTTTTAATATACAAATTATAAGATAAAATGGATTAAAGAAGTGCATTGGAGATGGTGTGCCAAAAAGTAAGTTGACAAAAAGAGTGGGACGGAGGGAGTATAAAAGTATTAAAATATGATTTTCATATTTTTTTTTCTCGAAATAGAACTTTGCATTGTGTTAATATGACGCTTTACATGTGCACTTTATTATACTTTTTGGTAATGTACATTACCATGTTTGGTAATGTAAATGATTTTAAATCTTATTTCAAGAATAAAAACATGGAAGTCCTATTTTGGTATATTTTCAATGTTTTACTCCTACTTTGGTCTATCTCTCTATCAATTAATCATATTGCTTGTTGGAAAAATTAACTACCAGTTTCTTCCAACTCTTTCCAGTTTCTTTCAACTGTTTCCAGTTTCTTCCAATAACGACTTAAAAATGTATTTATATATGATCAATATAAAAGAATATTATATATCCAAATTTATAACATATCACTTCAAACAGGGATAATAATAAATTCTTTTTTATCCAAAATTAGAGTTTTCTTGCATAATTGTTTGGATGATCATTTAATTGAGTGGATCTGTTAACACTTAATTTTTTAAAAATTTTCCAACTCATTTCAATTTTTTTAACTTCTTCTAATTTTTTCTAATATTTAATTTTGAAATTCCAACCCAAAAAATAGGACCTTAGCAGAAATATTTAATTCGTATATACATTAAAAAGTAATTAAATTTAGATAACCAATATAGAGAAGAAATAGTATTTTTATTAAAATATCTCATCCTTATAAAATATCAACGCGTGCTTTGTACTACGAAACTTTTCTTATGATTAATATAACACCATAGATATAATAGTTATTTCAGTTACACTAAAATATACTCCGTATATGAATATCAAATGTTAATTTTATTTAAGTCATGATCAAAGTTGATCAGCTCGATGTAGTAAAAGATAAAAAACTTTAGAAACTCAAATTACAGGTAGCAATAAAAATGTATTTTAAAATCTATTTAACTTGTTTCTAAAGTTTATTCTTTTTCAATTTTAATAATAATAATAATAATAATAATAATAATAATAACAATAATAATAATAATCATAATAATTCTTGATTGGATCTGATTTGATTTGATCTGATCTGATCTGATTTTAATAAGAATAAAAAAACAGAAAAAATAAGTTGAACGGGATCTAAATTAACTTGTCTCCGTCACAAATTTACAAACAATTTCTCCAAAAAGTTGCACTTGAACAAAAAAAGCAACAAAAAGTTAGTATAGCCCACTAATCGTAATGGTTTTACTTCCATATTTCGTTTTCCTGAAAAGAAAACCTCCTAAATAGGAGTAAAACATATGTCATATCCTCAAAATAGGAGCTTAAACTTAAACTCCTCTAAATAGGAGTAATTAATTAAGTAATAAAGAAAGAAAATATTGCATTAGTTTCTTTAAAACCGTACCATCTCCAAGGAAATAAATTTAAACAAAGAACATAGGTTGTGGTTCAGATTTTTCCTCTAGTCATGATAATTGATAATGGTTACTTTTAATGTATTTATTAAATCCAATGAGAGCAGTATTTTTCTATGCACTTGAAAGTCTGTTGAAGAACAAATACGTCTTTTAGACAATTCCACACAATCATAGAAATCAAACTAAGAACAAACTTATGCCTATGTCTCTCCCTCGTTGCAGATGTATCGCACCGCCTATATCCATTAGAGCTGAGATTGCTGCCATTCGTGATAACTATGATTTTGATTTTTAATTAGCTTCCAAATGCTCTATAATTGAACTACATCGTAGAAGTAAAAACTGCTTCCAATTAGTTGCATTCATCTTTTTTTTTTCTCCGAAAAATTGCATTTCATTAGGCATTGATTTTGTTTTGGTTTTTTCTTTTCATTTTTATATTCGATTGTTTTTTCCTTTTAATTTTTTTGTTTGACAGTTTTTCTATTAGTTGTGTTTAAATTTTGTTTCCAATTTCAGCAAAATTTGATGATAGTGATAAGAAACTTGACATTGTATGTTGGCAACCTTGACATTCTATTTTCTTTTTTACATTTTATATTGACATGTTTGGCATTACGCAATAACATGTTTGGCATTATGCAATGACATGTTTGTTAGTATGCATTATCGTCTTTGACATTGTGGCTTTGGTTACCATCGTATTAGAAATTTTTTCCCTTGGCAGTGATACCATAACACTGTAGTGGCGACAATGGCAGTCCTAATCCTACGTTGGCAGTAAATTATGAAATTGATAGCAGCAAATGGGGGCGATGAAGGCAGCATCCGCAACAAATGGGGATAGGGGCGGCAGATCGTGGTGGCGATATGCCGATCGTGGCGGTGTTAGTGGCAACAACAATGTAGATGGGGCCACATTTAATAACGATGGTAGCATGAGATTGTGGCGATGGAGTGACAGTGAGGACGGCGATGACGGCAGGGGTGGCGACAACGACATGTGCGGCAGGGGTTGTAGCTAATTTAGGATTTTGTTAATGTATAAAATGTATTTAATTTCATATTTGTAATATGAAATATAACTTCTACTTTTGTATGTGGTCAATATTTTACTTCTATTTTGCTCCATAACTCTAAGCCATTTGATTAATTTATTTAATTACTCCTATTTAGGGGTGTTTATGTTTCAACTCTTATTTTGAAGATATGTTATATGTTTTACTACTACTTTGGTCCTTCTCCCTTTCCTGAAACAAAAATTAAACCTCAACTTTTGTTTTCTGTAACTAGATATCTACCCGTACGATGCACGGTTAATAATTTATTTAAAAATTAATAATTATGAAAGTTTATTAAAGTAAATATTTTATATTATTTAGATACCTGAGTACAGATCCAAATTAAGAGTAAATGAAGAATTTGTTTATGATGAAAACATTGAAATGATGATTTATTGAATAAATCATGAGAATAAGTAATATAAATTAAATGTAAGAACCTTTCGGAGTAAAGGTCAAGTAAATCAATTTTGATTCTGTCAAAGTCAAACACCTAAAAATATGATATCGGAAAAAATATTACAAATAAATATAAAAGTTATATCGTTGAATAGAGCTCGATTATCTTATCGCAATGGTGCAAACGAAATTCAATTCGGAGAAAGTTAGACCAAAAAGTGTACCCCGACTGGAACCAAAATTGGTCCCAATCAGGGACACTGTGCAAACGGCGCCTCCCAGCGCACTAGCCGATCTCAGGATCACAGAAACCACGTTCAAGCTATCTTCTGCCTCTTCATTTCCCTATATAAGGAGAATGCAACTTCTCCATTTCTTCATCAAATCCTTCAATTTCTTCTTCTATTCTGTTCTTGGTTGAGAGAGGAGTGCAGTGGTGCTGTCAATTTGGTGAGAGGTCGTCGAAGCTAAGCACAAATTTCGCCGGAAGTTTCACCGGAAAATTTCCAAAACCTTCGTTAAGCTTCGAGGTAAGCCCATAGATATATCTAGTGACTAGAATGTTCGTATAGATTGTTTCTATGTTCATAACGGTCGCTTAGTTGAGTTTTGTGTTTGACATGTTTGAAGAACCAAGAATCATAAACCATGAAATTGTTGATAAAACTATGGATTAATGATTCCAAAATGATCTATTAACCTTGGAGAACATTTCTATATAGTTTAATTGAAGTTTGGTAACTAAAAATGGTATTTTCGAAATTGGACCCGAAGGAAGAAGAAGATGAACAGTGATCAAAAAACAGACGGTTTGGATCGATCCAGGAGAGTGGATCGATCCCCTGGGTATGTTTCCTTTACACATGAGCTCTAAAATCTTACTTTTTATACCAATTAATTATGACCAATATAAAGATGATTTTTCACCATGAAAATAATTTTTATAACAAATAAAATGTTATGTGATGCATGATTGATGATTATGATGAATATTATGGATAATTATGAATAATGAACCTAATGATTAAAATAATTACTTATGATTGAACCATGAGTAAAATGAATACATTGTTAAAGGTATCTAGAAGAACTCTAAGATATACTCATTAGATAATTGATGTTAAGGCTATCTAGAAGACCTCTAGAATAGATCTCAGATTAGAATGGATTTGTGAAAATATGAATATTCAGTGATTTGGATAAAACCGTAACAACGGAATTCGTAGACCAAAATGGAGGATCACTCGTTTGGAAATACTTCGACTCAATGATGATTAATCACTCTCTTGTTGTTGCCTTAAACTAATCTTTTATATATATAAAGCAGAGTCGGAGCTGCATGAAGGCGACATTTGGCGAAGCTATGACACGACATTTGGCGGAGCTCTGGCACGACATTTGGCAAATCTGATGTGTCACCCTTTTGGACAAATCGGCCAGTCGAACCGGTCGGACCCTTTTTTTTGCAATTTTTTCCAAAAGAATACCACTATGGGGTTTAAACCCAAGATCTCTTGGTAATTTAATTGAGTTCCCAACCATTCAAACTAGAGTGCTTTTTGTTACAATTTCACTTAACCTTTTATAATATTTCATAATTAAAAAAGGATTGTATAAAAATTTATTTTTAGTTATAAAAAATATAATCCTTTAATATAATATTTGAGACTCCGTTTGCTAGAAAGTCGTCAAATGTCAAGCTTGTGTGGGCTATATTAAGGTGAGATGACAAGCCCTTATTGGTTGCTTATGTGGCAAACTTTATGAATGATGAATTGACCTTTCATTTAATTTTAAAATAGAAATTTAATAATAATTCAAATTTTGGAAAAATTTTACGTAAAAAGTTTTAGGACAAATAAAGAATTCATTACTTCTGACATTAGTTGAGTATTTATATTTTTTTATTTTTAAAAAAGCAATTCATTTATTTATTTGTTATGCTGTGATAAAATTAATTATGTTATAAAATCAAAGCTGTGAAAGATAAATATAGTATTGTCCAAAATAAAATTATCAAAGGAAAACAATTATATAAAATATAATTTTATGATAAAACTTATTATGATGTAGAAAAAGATTAGTTAAAATATAAAATTGGTATCATCACTTACCATTTCTAAACTAGCATTTTTTATGAATCAAATTTTTAACTAAGTGTAGACACAAAAAACAAAATTTTGATACTGAAATATTTTCATTTAAAAGTATTCTTATAGGAAAGGATCAAATATGTTTATAATTGATCCTTTATTTATAAAATTGATATTTTAGTCTCTAAGAAGCTAAGATGTGACTTTCCCTACATAGCAACATATGTTATCAAATTTAATATCTACAGATATTATAAATCTTTAAAATGGATAGTCTCAATATCTCCTGAATTTGGAGATAACAATATGAGAGTTTGATATCTCTTTCAACTGTTGATCATTCTTCGCCACTCGCTACCATTGTCACTGCCAACCATTCCCGTTGTCAGTCACCCTTGCTTATCACTAATTAAATCTTGAAATTAAATCTCTTCAAATAAAATCATTTCAGATTACAAAATCCATATCATTTCTCTGAGTTTTCATAACACACATCTTATAATATCTCCAAAATAAACCAAATTGGCTCTAAGTAATTAATAACATATTTCTTCACTTCTAAATAAATTTCATATTTTTATGATATATTTAAATCGAAGCAGTCAGTTTGATTATATTTATTAAAATATTCATGTAAGTTAATAAACAAAAAAAATATTTTAAAACTACAATGAAACTTTATAAAACATCATAAGATTATAAAATAAATTGTTAAAGCAGGTAAAATATATTAGATATTATTTAGTAATTTGATTATATTAATTTCATGGTTTAATATAATTACATATAAATTATGGCTAATAGTTCTTAAATGATTTATGATTTAATTTACAGATATTGTATTTTATTATTATTATTTATTATAATATTTTTAAGGGTTAAACATATTTTTAGTCCATTAAAAATAGGTGAGTTTTGTTTTTGGTCCTTGAAATATAATTTTTGTTTAAGTCATCCTTACAAAAAAAAATTTATTTTGGTAATGATTTTTATACATAATAAATACTTTTAAGTTGTTGAAATATCATATTTATTTTGTACTCAATAGATTAGTTTTAGATTTGCAATTACTTCATACACAATTTTGATGCCAATAATTGTGTCGTTTATCATATTGCATTTCCAATTCTCAAATTTTGATTATAATATATTCGTAAGAAATTTGAGAGCCGTGTATATGTAATATGAATAAGTACACAATTTAGGGTTTAGAAGTTGCATCGGATGTAATTAGAAATACATGACTAATATGTTGAGTATGAAATAAATATACTATCTCATTAAATTAGAAGTGCTAATTACGTTAAGGACTATTTTCAAATTAAAATATTTTGTAGGGATGACTTTATCAAAAAATATTTTACAAGGACTAAAAACAAAAATTTCTTATTTTATACGGTATAAAAACATATTTAAACCTATTTTTATTATATTATAAAATACAAATGATTAAAACAAAATATATCATTAGGACTTATTATATTACACTAACATTATTTATAATTTTATTATCATCGAGTACATTTAATTTAGAAAGAGAGATATTTATTTTTCATTAGAATATTGTTTTAAATTTTTATTTTTTCATTTCATTTATAATAATGGGGTTCTCTAATAGTAACTACAGAAATGAACCATTTGGAGGGAAAACAGTTATACTCGGAGGTGACTTTTGGCAGATCCTTCCAGTTTTACACAGAGCTTTGAGAGAGGAAATTGTAGTGCTACGGTCAATCCCTCACATAAGTCACATTTGTGGTCGTACTATAAAGTTTATACGTTGACCAGGAATATGAGACTGCATTCATCCACGTCTTTTTGCGCAGATAGGGACACACAAGCTTTTTATGATTGGATAATCAAAATGGGTAATGGAAAGCTAGGTCAGGTGATAGATGGAGTTAGTAATGAAATCAAATGTTCGGGAATCCCAAACAACATAAAGTCTTGAAAAAAGGGGTACCGATATTGCTATTGAGGAACATTGACCAAACATCTGGATTGTGTAATGAGACAAGATTAATCATTGAAGAGCTGCAAAATAATGTTATCGATGCAATTGTGGTTTCGAGAAATCGAGTCAGGGAAAGGGTTTAAATCCCTAGAATGAATTTGGTACCATCTGATACAGGACTACCCTTGAAGTTCTAAAGAAGATAATTCGTGATCGCCTTTTGTTTTGTTATGACTATCAACAAAAGTCAAAGTCAAACATTGTCATTTATGGGATTATTTTTAACCAAGTCGGTGTTCACACATGGTCAACTTTATGTTGTTATTTCACAAGTGAAGATAAAGACATGATTAAAGATATTGGTTATAGATGACAATGAAAACCTTTGAAACCATACCAAAAATGTTGTATACCCAGAAGTCTTTTAGAAAATTTGGTATTAAAATAAACATTGTTAAGTCCACATTCAGTTCCTCAAATATTTATTATTTTACTTTGACATTTTTCATTTGCAGTATTAAAAATCATGCGAGCAGTATATTTTCTTTATTCCGAGAAATAAATTTAATTGAAATAATTCAGAATCGACATAAATTTCGTTCGACCCCGTGCATGGCACGGGTTAGAATACTAGTTATAATTTAAGCGTCTGAGAATTATTGTTAGCCTTAAACTAATTAAAGTTTTAAGCGTCAGAGAAATGTTGCCTTAAAAAACAAAATATAATGAGTCCACATTTGAAAACAATGACTTTTTTATAATAATACAACATTGAACTACTAATGATTATAAAATAATTGATAAAATAATGATCATTAAAATAATAAAATAATGATCATTATTAGTAAATTTAATAAAATAAAAAAAAGCGAAAGAATATTGAGAGAAGGAAAACACAATACAGAGTATTCCATATATGATAAAATGAAATACATACATCAAAACTTGGAATACTTTGTGGTCAACCTCAAACGGTTCGGTTCGTGATAATTAGTTTCATTATTTTGTTTTCGGTCTTGTCTCGTTTGAAAAAATCATTTTTAAAACTCAAAGGTGGACGAAATAAGAGTTTCCAGCTCATAATTTTCTTAACCCACTCAAACACAAAGGATCAATGCCCCCAATGAAGATTGAACCCATAACATCTTATTTAAAAGCATCATAATTATGTCGCTAAACTACAAGGTGTTTGGCTCTTCCCACTTCAAGATAAAAAATCACCCGTTTCGAAATTGAACTGCCTTCCCCTTCCAAAGTCAAAGAAAGTCAAAACTGTCAAGCTAAGATCTTGTTCCTTTCAACTATTTTTCTCACTTATTCTTATTAGAATTAAAACATACTCTCTTCGTAAAGTTCTTCATGTTTGAAAAAAGGCGCACCCATAAAATGAATAATTTTTTGTTATTTTATAATTTTACCCTTATTTTATACGAGTAATAAAGTAGTATGAGATATGTAGGATACATGAATCGTATTTTGAAAATAACATCAAAACTATTCATTTTAAATGTGTACTTTTTTCATATAGGAAAGGTTTTATAAAACGGAGAGAATATAATATCACATAAAAAGTAACTTTATACGGAGTATATAACCAAAATAAAAAATCAGATCAAATATAATCAAATCAGATCGAACAAAATGAACAAGTTTTAACTTGGAGATGATTGTGAACTTGGAAAGTACACCTGTACAAGAGACGGCGTCGTTAAGAGGCGAACTAAAAATTAGCTCTCGTCGTTAGGGAGCGAACTTGAAAGCTCAAGAATACGGCGTCGTTTCACGTCAATAAAGCTATAAAAACAGGTTCCCGTCCAATTCTCGAATTAGGGTTTAAATATTCGCCTCTCTCTCTCTCTCTCTCTCTCTCTTAGGGGTTGATTTCTCTCCGGTGACCGATTGCGGCCCTCCGCCGATCGAATCTGCTATGGATCTAACGAAGAAGCGCAAGGCCGAAGAAAATGGAGCGGCTTATCCGATACCAATCGAGATTATGGGAAACGCCGTTCCCGGTGGTCCTCCGCCGCCGACCGGGATCCTCAGCCCCGAAGACGCCAATAGAATACTCGATCCCTTCTCCAAGGAGCAACTCATCTCCGTCTTGCGTAACGCCGTGATCCGGTATCCGGATATTCTTGAAGCCGTTCGTGCAGTGGCTGATGCCGATACCACTCAGCGGAAGCTCTTTGTTCGCGGACTCGGCTGGGAGACCACCACGGACAAGCTCCGCCAAGTGTTTTCTGCTTACGGGGAGCTTGATGAGGCTATCGTGATTACAGATAAGAACACAGGGAAATCTAAAGGTTATGGATTCGTGACATTTAAACATATTGATGCGGCCATAATTGCACTTAAGGAGCCAAATAAGAAAATTGATGGGCGTATTACTGTGACTCAGCTTGCAGTTGCAGGGAATTCGGGTAATTCACAATCTTCAGATGTTGCTCTTAGGAAAATATATGTGGGGAATGTGCCGTTTGAAATTTCTTCAGAGAGGCTCTTGAGTTTCTTTTCTACTTTTGGGGAAATTGAGGAAGGGCCGTTAGGTTTTGATAAGCAGACTGGTAAAGCCAAGGGGTTTGCTTTCTTTGTCTACAAGACTGAAGATGGTGCTAGAGCATCATTGCATGAGCCCATGAAGGTTATAGACGGAAATCAGGTGGTGTGTAAACTGGCTACTGATAACAAGAAAGGGAAGCAGCCTAATATGGGGCCTGCTGGTGGCCCTGGAATGCCAAACACAGGACATACTGGAATGCCTGGGGATGATAGAATGGGTCATGGGCCTATGCCTGGACCAAACTATGGAATGCATGGAACTGGAATGGGTCCTTATCCAGGTTATCCAGGTGGACCTGTTTCAGGAATGCAGCAAGCACCACCACAGACAGGAATGATGCATCAGCCATTGAATTCGGGCATGGGTGGGCCTGCTGGACCAGGGTATGGGAACCAAGGGCCGGGGCCTTATGGTGGTGGTACAAATAGCTATCCTGGTAGTGTTGGATATGGAGGTGGTGCTTCAGGGGATTTTGGTAATGGCGGCATGGGTGGTGCCCCGGGGTCTAATATGTATAGGGTGCCGCCAAGCTCTGCTGGAATGCCTAATTCAGGAGGGTACCCTGAAGGTGGTAATTATGGGTATCCCTCACAGATGCCACAGTCTGGACCAGGCTCCAGGGTTCCTCCTGGCGGTGGTGGTATGTATCAGGGTGGGCCTACATACTACTAAGGTAACCTTTGTGATTGATTGATCTCTTAATCTGTATTATTTCACAGGCTCTTAAATTTCAAATGGTAATCCACTGGAATATGCCTGAATTGATTCTTTTTTAAGAACATGCATGAATTGATTCTAGTCACTGCCTGATTGATGCTAATTGTTCATGTGTTCAGTGGGTTGTTCTTTCTCTAAAATGTAGTGTATCTTGTTTGTAAAGTTTCTTGCAATAGCTTATAACCTAACTTAAGATATTACACATCTTTTCTGAATTCATACACTTAGTCTTGGCAAAGTTATTTGATTGTCTGTGCAAGTTCAAATTATATATTGCTGCAGTTTGAAGTTCTTGTTAAGGATGTCCTTGTCTATAATAAAAATGTTTTCCTTTGATTTAGTTTTTTCTTTAACTTGTGTAATGAAAATGTAATTTTAGTTTGGATCCATCCAAATATGAATCTTGAAGATTGAAATTCCAACATGTCTACTTTCCCAAACTGTTTACATAGTGTTCTCCTAGGTGTCTCACTGTCCCTAGCTCACCTCTAAAATGATTGTTCAACCGCATAAATTAGGTGTTGCTTTTTGAATTGATGATTTCCATGTTTTTAACAACCTTCGCAATGATTCTATGTCTTTTAATTTATGTTCTTATTTTATTACTTTTTACCTACTTACTCTGTATCTTCTATCTTGTTTAGTTGAAGGTAAAAGTATATCTGGATTCTGCTTCAATTCTTCCCAATCTTTTTTGCTTTATGACTTTAAGTAGACTCTTTACAAACACAAGGCACTTGTAAAACACATATTTTTATATGTAGTATTTCAATTTTCAACTATTGTGAATTTCTGTATGATGCTCATCATATAATCCTATTAGTTGTGCTAAGTGCTACCTAATGACACTTGCTCACTGAAGCTTCTTTTTTGCTTGCAAGAACATGTTACCTATGCTCTAGGGGTTTGAATGATCAAAATGTATATGTGTCTATCAGGTGTTTGAGAGCCTCTTGGGAGCACATGCTTTATATGGTTATGGTGATTTCCTGATTGCAGACTGAATTCTTACATGATAAATGGACTGCTCTACATCTGTTGCTGCTCCTTTCTATCTGCTACTATAAGTTGTGGACTTTGTGGATTCTAGTTCATGTTTGCTAGTTTTAAACTAGGAGTTACTTCAAAGAACTTGCTGTATCTGGTGTTGAATAATTTGATGATTGTTCTTTACTCGGTTTTGTTCCTCAATTTAACTGCTATTTGTATTTGTATGCTTTTCTTTTCGTATCCCTGCAGTGGTTTTAAGTATACTTATTAACTGTCCAATTTCCCTTTTATGGCTAATTTTACAGTTTGTTAGTAACTAACTATGCACACTGACTGTGTCTATTCGGTTATGTTCTTTTCAACTGAAGGCCTGAAACTTACTAAACTAAATTCAGAAGTGTTGTACTGAACCGGAAATTGAATAATTTTGTTATGATGCTATTTGAGTATTTTATGTGTTGAATTGACTTGAGAAGGTTTGAACCAAAAATAAGTTGAAAAGAACATACCCTTCAACAAGCAGTAATTCATTCTCGTGAAAACTTGAAAATAAATTTCACATACAGGTTTTTTTATGCTCTCTATCAAAGTCATTTTTGACATGTAATGACATAAATTTAGAATGTCAAACCATTCTTTAATCTCTGTTCACCCGGTGTTCTTTGCATTTTTTTATTGTTTGCTTGGGCGTCACTAAAGTGTGTGAAATTCAGTTAACAAACTGTTAAGTGTTTTTACTTTCGGCTGCGTTATTCTTTCTCGTTGTTCATCCCCATCAGCTAACAACTTGTTTTAAGATTACATTTCTGGTATCTCAACTATCTGTCTTTTTGAAACAACATTGTCGTTGTAGGTAGGGTTACAGTCTGTTTAAGTTCACTTTCTCCGCTCACTTGGGCAATTTGTCATTTGTGTATATTGTGATTCTACCAAAATAGTCAATTCAATACCTGTAGTTTCTTTGTGTGCCGAACATGATATTACAATACAATTAAGCTGCCAGATCATGGTGCTAATAACTTGAAGGATAAAGATATATTTAAGCATCTCCCCTTTGTTTTGTTATGTGTCACGCCGGTGAGGTTGAGGTTGTAGCAACAGAAGAGGTCTTGACGTACGTGCAGCTAGCTCCCCGTCGCTGCATTGGCATATTCAACTTGCTTCGGGCTTGTCATTGAAGTTCCTGAGGTATATTTTGGGACCTTATATAAACAAAGAAGGTATGGTCTACTGGGAATGGACATTGGCTAGGTTTGTAGCAGCTGTTTTGTATACACACATTCTTGAGTGACTCATGATATGAAAATGGTGCAGTGTACATCATAATGTCCTAACCTTAATGAGTTGTCCTACAGTCCTACACTAACCAACAAAATTTCTAGTATTTCTTAATGTTGAAAATGCTTATTGTTTATCCCAATCGCCTAGAACATGTTTGAAAACTGTTATTATACCATTTTTTTTCTTTTTTCCTTTTGAATTCTTGAAACCAACTAAAACGCCGCGTTTGTGCCAAACTCTTAATGTGAAACGTGATGGGTTTCTAGTGTTTTTTGTGTTCGGTAATAAATATAGGAGGGAGAAGATGCCATATTTTTCAAAATCAGATGGGTAAGAAGTATTGAGAGACAAGCCACATTGGTCGAAAATAGAAGTGTTTCTTGCCCAAAAACAAAGTCTTACTTGTCGTGGTCATCTTCTTTGGATGTGCATAGTCCTTTCCAACCACGGCTGAGGTGACAACATGATAAGTGTAATGGTGCATTTGTATAGCATATTTACAATCTCTCACCACTTTGTTTTTGGCCAACATGTAAATCTCTCAATGAGGTTTTCAAAATCAAGCACAAAAACACTCCAATTAAGTTGACAAAAAAATTAGCGATCTTGAGGACATTCAATTCGGCAGGTAATCGTGAATGGCATTATTATTGTTGTTCTATCTAATATTTTTGATACCCTTTGTAATAATAATAATAATAATAATAATAATAATAATAATAATAATAATACTAATAATAATAATAACAACAACGACATGATTCTATTGACACTGCAAATCTATGCACAATTAAATAAATGATGATATTAGAAACTATACTTTCTTTTTGTATTTGTTACAATATGAACGACATAATTTTCGTCTTTATTTTTAAAAAAGAATCTATGTTAAATTATCAACAACAAAAAAAATCAAAGACATTACTATGCTCTTCATTTAACACTTTTTTTTGAAATTTGTTTGATTAAATTATACTCTGTCTGTCCTCAATTAATGATCATTTTTACTATTCTAAATTTCCAATAATTTTTGTTTGCGTATGCAATTTCAAAATAAAATACACATATTGTCACTTGTTTTATATAATTTTTGATATAGTTTTTAAATATATAATTTGTACTTTTTCTAAAGAAATTTGTAAATAAAATTATATTTAAAGAGATTAGATTTTATAGAGTAAATTTTATAATTAGCCCTTTATAATAGGGGGGTTTCTCTATTTAGTCCTCAATTATCAAATATTACCCCAGTGGTCCTTCTTTTATAGGTATCTTTCCACAAATAGTCTTTTTTTTGATCTTCTATCATGTTGGTGTTAATTTGAGGGCTAAATGTGTAATTTAACAATGATAATATATCTTTTTTGTCATACACAATTCCAAAGGCTGTTCCGTTTGCGTAGTTTGTGAATTACAGCCGCTTTCTACTACAAACATAGTCTACAAATATGGTCTTTCGTTGGAATTCTACTCCACAATCGTAGTCATTATTTTTGTGTTATCCGCAAACCCAATATCAGAACACGTCACTAGACATAATGTTGATGTCAAATTATATATTTAGCCTTCAAATTAACACTAACATGATAGAAGATCAAAAAAGATTATTTATGGAAAGATACCTATAAAAGAAGAACTATTGGAGTAATATTTGATAATTGAGGACTAAATAGTAAAATCCCACTGTTATAAAGGACCAATTATGGAATTTACTCGATTTTATATATTGTTTGAAAAGGAATCATTAATTGAGAACGGAGGCAAGGTGTACCATAAGTAGACTCGAGTTGGATTTCTAATAATTTTGAAGAAATTATGTTAAATATATAATCACTCGGGACTTGGTATTAATTGGGAACGCAGTAAATATAGTAATTTGGAAAGGAATGGAGAGAGTGTAAGAAGAAGGATTTGATTTCATTTACTTCTCGGGGGGGCCTAATATCTGACGCACCAAAATGGCAAAATCGTAACAACCCAACAGCCGGAGGCCAGGAACGAACTTCAGAGCTGTTGCACGGCCTCAGTATCTCTGTTCACTCGCTCCCGTGTCAGATCGGATCCATCAAATTCCGGCCGGCTCCGTCGCGCATTCCGATCACCGTCTCTATCTGATCTGAGTCATACAGATTCCGAATTGCTCTCTGGAACTCCGAAATGGATAGCAGCGTCTTGCCTACAGCGATGCCGTTCAAATCGGACCGGCGGCCGAAATCAAAGTCGAACCAAACCTCTAAACCCTCCCTCTTCATGGCACTCATCTCTTGCTTCGCCTGGCTCTACGTCGCCGGACGGTTCGTTAATTTGTGGTTAATTTATTTCTCCTCTAAGCTGTTATTAGTGCTTGGTTGATTATGAGAGAGGCTTTCTAGTTCTTTTTTTCTTGTCCAAACAAAAAATGATTCATCAAATTAGGAGTACTTTTTAAACATATAATTTTGATTTTTTTGATTCATCTACTAATTCTCTGTATGAAAATAGGTTGTGGCAAGATGCAGAAAACCGAACGTTATTGACTAACCTATTTAAAAAGAACTCAGAGCAGGTATAGAGTTTATCTATTTTGTTTTAGCTTTTTTATATTCTTCTGCACTGCACATAATGCTTGTTGTGTTTCCATTGCCAATGTAGCTAAAACAGACACTATTGACAATGTCCGACATTCCGACGGATAAATAATGGACTAAATCAAAATGACACATTAAATATCTATTGATTCGAACTTTTTCTATGAACTTTTGGCTTGTAATGCGTAGGGTCTAAGGGAAACATTCTTCAAATTTTTGAAAGTGGTGGCCAGTAAGGATATCTTGAATTATTTTCTGTGAAATGAACTAAGGTTTGGATTCGAAAGTTATTTCTTTTCTTAAAATAGGCCTTTTATTTGATGTATTATTTTTTTAAAAAAGTGGGCTCGTTTAGCTTGTGATATACTCCTCTTAAATTAATTCCTAACTTAACGCTGATTCGTATGAGTTATGACAGAGACCAAAAATGCTGACAGTTGAAGACAAGCTAATGGTTTTAGGATGCAAGTAAATCTTTCTAGGATCCCTTCCAATTACATTTAGAACATACTTTTAATTGAGTTGATTTGGTGCTTTACTAACGTCTCACAATCTTGTCAGGGATTTGGAAAGGAGGATAGTTGAAATTGAAATGGAATTGGCTTTAGCAAAAAGTCAAGGATACCTTAGGAATCAGTTGCAGAAAAGTGGGTCATCTTCTAGCAGAAGACTTCTAGCTGTTATTGGAGTGTACACTGGGTTTGGAAGTAGATTGAGACGAAATGTGTTCAGAGGTTCCTGGATGCAAAACAGTCTGTAATCTGACTCACTCATACATTTACAGTTTCTTGTGTTTGCTCGTGGCTCTGCCCTGCAATATCATCTTTCACCATTAGATTCTGATTAGCTCAAATCTGAGGGAATAACATACATATGCCACTTGTGTGGGAATAAGAATTAGAGCTTGTTTACCCAACATGCTCTATTCCAATCACAGTTCATGATATTATATAATTCACAAGCATCAAATTAATCTATGCATCATATTTTAGTATCTCACCATGAAAAGGGCCAACCTTAGTCAAGATGAGGTCCTATGTTGTTTTTAAAATTTTAAAACTAATTTGCATTGTGTGAGTCAATTGGGATCCATTTTAGAATTCCATATGTGATATTTATGGATCCTCAGTGACACTAAATCGTTTCATTCATGATGTAAAATCAATGTTGTATTGTATGTAGTGAGATTGTTGATTTCTAGAAAACAATTGACATTCTGTTCTATCAATTGTTCTACCTTCTGCAATGTTGTGCATTTTCTTTTGCAAGTAGTCAATTTACTCTGTTTTCCTTTTGGGGAATGAGGTTGTTTTTGTAATTTACTTCTAATCCTTAACCCTAGGGGAAAACTGTGTCATACTTATGCACTCTTTTAACACTATTATCATATTTACAAAAGCTGGTGTGTGGTAGATGTTCTCAGTTCTCACTTTTCTAAGTTTCTCTGTCAGGTGATGCTTTGGCAAAACTTGAAGAAAGAGGAGTCGTCATAAGATTTGTAGTTGGTCGAAGGTCATCCTTTGTACTTGAGATTTTCTTTCACCATTTACTAATCATAATTGTATTTGCCCTTTTCTTATGCTTTTTTTGATTAAAAGTGGAACTAATTGGGTATCTTGAATTCTGTAGTCCTAATAGAGGTGATAGCCTAGACCGCAATATTGATGAAGAAAATCAGACGACAAAGGATTTTTTAATTCTAGTAAGTTAAGAAACTTTTTTTTTAAAGTTAATAAGTGTGTCTTCTTGGTGACAATCCAGTGTTCAGGATCAGGTCCTCAAATACTTATGTTTTCACTTATGTTGATGTGTCTCACTGAAATAGTACAAGTGATACCGACATACAGTTAAGAAACACAGAGCACCAGTATCATTGTTTTAACTTCAGTTTCTACTTAATCTGTAGGAAGGACATGAAGAGGCTCAAGAGGAGTTGCCCAAGAAAGCCAAGTTTTTCTTCAGCACAGCAGTTCAAAATTGGGATGCAGAATTTTATGTAAAAGTCGATGACAACATTGATCTTGATCTAGGTAGATGTTATACCTTATTGAATTCCTAGGTTTTACTATTTGAAACTTATTTGCTCATATCTCTTCAGATGGGCTGATTGAACTTCTTCACAGCCGTCATGATCAAGGCAGTTCTTATATCGGTTGCATGAAGTCGGGTGAAGTTGTTGCTGAAGAGTAATATTTTAATTTTCATTTTTAAACAGCATGTAATTTGAACGTCTTATCACGTGTCAAAGTGTCAAACAATATAAAAAGTTTGCCATGTTACCAGGGGAAAAGCGTGGTATGAGCCAGAGTGGTGGAAATTTGGAGATGAAAAAACGTAAGCATATTTTTTTGGTTGCCATAAATTTATTATTGCGGTATGTTAATAGTTTTACTGATACACATAAACAAGTCATGTGAAAAATGGTAAAATATTGCATCTCCGTTTCCCTGTCTCTTAAATCTCTTACCTATTCAGGTACTTCCGTCATGCAGCCGGTTCAGTTCTTATTCTAACAAAAGATTTGGCTCAGTATATCAACATTAACAGGTCAGTTATTGACTTAATATAGATGCATTAACTTCAACTTTATCTTAGTTCTTATCTGTGTTAATGTCCATGGAAGGCATTGGGGCCAATGAGGGGAAGTGGAATGTTACTATGATGAAGGGTCAGAAATGGAGTTAGTTTTTTATTATAATAACATTCCATGTATCATCTTAAGCTTGAAATACTTAGTATCTCCTACTATTGTAAGTATTTACATGTCCAGTTTTGTGGATATACACCATTCCTCACTGCTCGTAAAGAAATACTCCTATACTCGTATATTACAGCATATTGTGAATAGGCTATTAATTTAAAGATAGTTGATAGCAAAATATTAAAATTGTAAATTTAGTTTTCGAACAGATTTCTCTCTTTTTCTTTAATTTCCATGCATCTATAATTATAGTTTCATTGTTCATCATTTGTGTTTACTCAGTGCATCATTGAAGGCTTATGCTCACGATGATATATCATTGGGGTCATGGATGATGGGCCTTCAAACGACTTATATTGATGACATTCGCCTATGCTGTAGTGCTTCCACACAAGGTAAATATGTGTTCCTCTTGTCCATACTAAGCGAGAAGAATTTTCTGTGGGCAAAAGATTGTGAATAGAAATTGTAGGATTTTCTTAGTTTTTGTGGTAGTAAATTGAAGTTATCAATTTCCTATGTCGGAGTAGTATTTTGATTTTGACGTGAGTTAATACTTGATTTAATCTCTTGATTATTAAGTTTGTCCTCGACTATCAAGTCATTATTGTCTCAACCTTTGTTTAGGACTCTACATATTTAGACCTGACTAAGATGGGCATTTTTTTCCATTTACTAAATTAGATGCAGTTTAGGACTCAATTATGTTCTCAACTTTATAATATGGACTAACTTAAGCATTAGCGTATGAACATACCTCTCTTAGTGCTTCTAAATTTTAGAGTTCGATGACCAAATTGAGTCCTCAAGAAAGTTGATAGTGCATTGTCAATGTGCTAATAGGGTATTACTTGAATAGAGAAAGCACACTATCTTTTTGGCACAAGTGCTTAAAGAAAATTATTGATCAAAACGGAAAAGACAGAAAGTATAGTGCTTCTAACTTGTAGAGTTAATGACCAAATTAGGTCTTAAAGGAAGCTAATAGTGTATTGTCAAAGTGTTAATTAACTCTTTCAATGTGGATGATTAAATAGGGGTTCATTTGGAAATGAAAAAAACAGAGCCACATTGAATAGTGAAACTAGACTATCCTTGTGGGACGGACAAAAAAGGAATAGTGGTGTATCTTACTGCGATAAAAAAGTTTTGCACTAGCATTTTTTGCGTGTGTGAATCATCACACTGGCACAAAATGAAAGTGCATAACTGTGGTGTACAATTTGGGGCACAAATTTTGGTGTACAAGTAGCTTAATTCATGTAACAGCCTAACTCTTGGTGATGCTATAATCTTCTCTTCTTTTTGCTCAGACAAGGTATGCTCCTTGGCTTAATAAAGGTAGGTCGGTGCTGGCGTGCCGCTTCATTCTTTCACCTCCGTGTATGCTTCAGTGACAGATCGCGGTGAGATTGCACAATTCTTTCATTTGATACATACTCATAGTATACAGTCAGGTGTATGTATACCTAGAAAATATGTAACCTCACATAAACTTTCACTCCTCTCTTGAGAGACACAATTATTTACTCCATCTGTTCCAAAACAAGGTTTCGTTTTCCCCATCCAAATTAAGGTTTCCATGTCGTTCTTAGTAAAGGATAACGTGGTTCACGTTATTTCTAGTTCTTTATGTTGATCTCAAGTGAACAATTTCACATCACCTTAGCCTTGTCAAACTTGGAAGCTTATTTTGGGGCGGTGGTGTATTATATGTCCAAGAAGCTTTGTTAGTAGTTAAGAGAAGTCTTTAACACTAAGGCTTTGTTTGGTACACGGAATTCAAACTATGAAATTGGAATTGGAGACAATAATTTGAATTCTACTGTTTGGTAACACAAATATACGTGGATTTGGAATTGGTAGTGCCAAAAATAAATTGGAATTGGAGAATTCAATTCCATCCAAACCAATTTCATAGAATTTTAATTTCCCATTCAATTCCGTCAATTCCGTGTACCAAACGGATCCTAAGTTTGTTTAGAGGTGACAAGAAAATAAAAATGAGAGGAAAATAAAAGGGGAATTTACGTAAATAGCACTAAAACATAATGACTTTTCTTAAATATCATCACATGTGTTTTTTCCAATGTAACACTTTTAGTCATTATCCATTAGTCATTATTCAAGTAAATGTTTGCCATTACTGGACATTATGGACATTACTAAGTGCTACTTAGGGAATAAAATAGTTTAAGTGTTATTTAGAGAAATGACTTAAGTTTTAGTGCTATTTAGTGCAAATATTTCAAAATAAAATGAGAAGACAAAATGTATGTACTGAAAGGAGAGAATCAAATTTTTTTCGGCAAGGAAAATGAGAGAAAATTATTTCTTTTCTTTTCCTTCAAAGTTCCTCGAACCAGACAGTGTAAGCATACATGACTTGATATGATGTTTATGTTCTCTTTTAGTAAAAGTTGTTTAGTTTTTCGTATATGTTTATGTACTACGTTTGGATACATCAAAGTAGGAGTAACATTTATTCTATTCTTTTATAGCCGAGGTGTGTTGGAAACAGTCCCTGTATCTTTTATCATCAAGTGACAACAAGCCAGTGCAAAGATGTTGGGTTGAAGGCCCATATATATTGGGCCCGGTACATTGGCCCAAAATGGCCATATAGGCCCAACCCAACACAACAAATGCCTCCTTAGGCTTGTGTTTAGGATAAATCTCCAAAATGATTCGGTTAGGATAAAGCCTAAGAGCCTGTTTGTCAGTGCTTCTTAAAATATATTTCTACAGTGACAAAGCTGAGAAGCTACTCTGAAATGCCTTCAGATTATATGGTTAAAATAGTCATTTTTTTTCTAAAGTTTAAGCCATCACAAACACCCTCTAATATCTAGTCCGTATTTGAACTTGTATTGCTTTCTTCCGCAAAAAAATCGTTCTTTCATTTTCTGTCTGTTCACGTGAATACTTATAGGTTTGGGATTTTAAGTCTCCAAGGTTTGGTTCCAATGTTATGTAGAATTTCATGAAAATTGAACTGAATTTTATTTACAAATTTTTCTAGAATTAAAAAGTAAGAGTATAACTAAGACTTCCTCTGTTTTCAAAAAGCATTTCTATTTTGACCAAGTGTAAAAATAAAGAAGTGTTAAATTATACGGAGTAGATGACTTTTAATTTTACCCTTGATGTGATGAGTAAAAGTAAGATGTGATGAATAGATTATTAGAGAAAAAATACGATGTGATATGTATAATATGAAAAAGTAAGGGTAAACGTAGTTTTTTAATAAAAGTGGAAGTGTTTTGTTGGAAGTGGAAAAAAAGAAAGAGGAAGTGTTTTTTAGAACGGAGGGAGTATATTTAAAAACTAATCAAAATTTTTATTTCACCAAACAAGTTGCACATATTTCTTTAGTGTTATTGATTTGATTTTTCCGGGAAATATATTTTCAAATACCTTTTTTTGTTTGAAAAATTTCTTTCCATTGTCTTTTTTAACATTTGGAACCCCACAATTATCCTTACTCTACCCTTTATTTATTACATCTCGTACACCTCATTTAATATACTCATCCATTTTCATTAAGCGCAATTTGGTATACTTCTATTACTCGGGCTAAGAGAGAAGTTCTGTAACATGTCTGTTTTATCAAAACCTGTCTAATTTTATTCTAACAACCCAAACTATACTGCTAATTAGACATACCTATAAATGCATATATATATATGGAGTACTGTATATATTAAAAAAGAGCTAGTACTCCGTTACGTTTATATAAAACGTACGTACGTATATGCATGCATGCAGAGCACGCAGTGACTAAATTATAATTAGCCTAGTGATGGATGGGGTCTGGCCCAGCAGGTGCGTCACGGTGGGGCCACATGACGTCACCCTTACTTTCCTGCTTCATCTCCTCCCTCTCAAACTGCTTCTGAAACTCTTTCCTCGCCAGTCCTATGGGCTTCACCGGCGTCACCGGCGGCGGCGGCCGAGCTGCATGGCTGAACGCCGCCGACAAGAAAAGCATGGCCAATGTCACACACGCTAAAGCCTTGATCCAGTACCGCCACTTACTCATTATTAATTATTTGTATTATAATTCTGTTTATTATCACAAGAATTTGTGTACGTAATTATAAGTATTTTTACGTGAATATAAATATGAATAAACATATGTTTGCGGGCTTATTTATATAGGTGTGTGTATGCGTGTGTCCGTAAGTAGTTAGTTGTATTAGTTGTAGTTAGTTAAGTGGCCATAGGTAGATGTACAGTAAAATATATTTGGAATAAATACTTTGCCGAAAATAAGCAAGGGAATAATAATCTATAGAATTTATAAATTAGTGTGAGTTCTTTCTTTATTAATGGATCGCGTGGACGGCCATGTTAGTATTGATATGATGGAGATTATAATATTGGACCAGCGGCTGTGGTCGAGTAGGTGGCTGGATTTGACAATTCCCCAGGATCCCTTTATTTATCTTTTACTCTACAAAACTTTTTAGATTTTGAGTTTTAAATAATTTAAGACGAGTATATTTTGGTATTGATTTTCTAAAAATACCCTTTAATGTGATGGATAAAAGTATGATACCCCTCCGTCCCATAAATCCTTCACGTTTCAAAAAAATCGTGTCCCTAAAGTTCTTCCAATTTCTATTTAAAAACCACTTTTACCCCTTATTTTTTTATACCCTACCTATCACATCAACACTTTTTTAAATAATCTACACATTATATCTTACTTTTACCAATCACATCAACGATATTTTTGGAAAGTTATCACAAAATTATCTCTCCTTATTTTACCACTTTAGTCAAACCGTCCATATCTTTATGGGGCGGAGCTGAGGGAGTATGATAGATATATTAATAATGAAACAAATGTGATGTGATGGGTAATTTAAAAATTAGTACAAATAAAAATGACTTTTTAATATAAATAAGAAATACTCAAGGATTAAAAAGAAAGCATAAAGATTTTGTGGGATGAAGGAAGTATGGAGTTATTAATAAGAGAACGATTAGATTCAATTGTTTTTTTTTCTTTTGGAAAAATTCACACCAATACTCCCATAATTTCAATAGTTTACGTAAATATTCCAAAATTCAATAAATGACATCAATGCTCCCAAGGTTTTTCTATATTAACATGGGTACTCCAATATTTGAAATATGTTTAATTACATCAATGCTCCAACATTTGGAGCACTGAAGTAAACATAATTAATTTCCAAACAACAATGTAAACATAGGAAAATTTTGAGAGTATTGATGTCATTTAATGAATCTCGAAGTATTTATCTAAACTTTTGCATTTATGAGAGTATTTATGTGAATTTTTCCTTTTCTTTTTGATACTCCCCCCTCTTTTTTCTACGGAGTATAAAATTAATGAATTTTATTTCGGGTCTTTCTAAAAAGATTTGTGCTTAATTCATTCATGCATGTGTAAAGCTCACCAATAATCTAGAGCTCGGCTACATATATATGTTTTTGGAATTAAAAAATCACTATTTGGATTCCTTTGTTTTTTCACGGTTGGAAAGTAACTCAGAGTAATTTAATTCTATAGTTACGCTATTTGGATAGTACATCGACAAATAATGGACATTAGTGTAAGTTCATTAAGAATGTTTAACGCAATAGTACATTACGGAGTATTTGGAAAGTAAAAAGGTATGGAGTATGTAATTTTATTAGAATAACGAACCGAAAAAGTGAAATCAATTTTTTTGTGCTATTAACCTACGAACTTTTCATGAATTATATATTTTTGCTCTGAATTATTACCATTAGTCCTATATTTTTCATAAAGTTTTTTTCTCACGTCTCAGTTGAAATTCACTACTAAAAAAATGTGGGATTGGCACGGACGGTAGAATGGCGTGGAAAAATAGTCCAAATGACATGTTTCCATTCGTTCTCTTTTGATGACAGGGACGCATCCGTGCCAGACGTCATTGATGAACTTGTTTTTTTCTTTTGTTTTCAAGAAACGCTACACGTTGGGGGGTTCAAATATTGTGAACATTAGGGTTTTAAGAAGAAATATTTGCACTAAATAGCATTAAAATTTAAGTCATTTCTATAAATAGCACTTAAATTGTTTTATTTCCTAAATAGCACTTAATAATGTCCATAATGTCCAGTGATGACAAATATTTGCTTGAATAATGACTAATGCATAATGACTAAAAGTGTTACATTGAGAAGAGAAACACATGTAGTGCTATTTAGAGGAAGTCATTATGTTTTAGTGTTATTTAAGTAAATTCCTCTTTTAAGAATATATATTTGTTGGGTAGCATCTTTAACCAAATTTAAAGAAAAAAACAAACCCATCAATGGCGTCTTCATCAAACTCCAGAGTTGTTGAATTTTAATTAAGGCGTGAGAAAACTTTCACAAGCTTGCCGCAGTTAGCAGTTAAGTCCTCCAAGTTATTTTTCTTTTTATTCAAGTTTGATTAAAGACGATGTTCAACCAATGGAAATTCTCAGTGTCTCAACCATGTACCCTTTAATTTAAAAAAAAAGATGCACTCCAGAGTTGAAACTCGGGAGGGGGGGGGGGGATATGCACTTTACAAAAAAGCATAGTCACTAATGATGCAATTATGAAAATTGAAAGTGGAACAAAAAAC